CACACACACACACACACACACACACACAGTATTTAGCACATAAACACCAGTGTTCAGAGAGACATTAAGCAAGAAAAGTAACCAGTTATGAGATGAGACTAATCAACAAGTAAATTGCCAAAATGGGTGAATTAGACCTTTCAAAAATGTAATACCATCACCCCACATGAAAATTATAATGGTGGGATATATTTTGAATATCCATGAATATTTTTACAGTACACCAGCCTGATTGATGCTGCAAGAAGGGAACAGCTCCAGTTCCTGACCACATTTTTACTGTTGTTTATTGTGATTTTAAAACAGGAGGATTTTGTATGTAAACAACTCTGAAATTGTGTCAAGATGGGGCAAAGTTAATTGACCTTGGAGTCAATGATACTTTTGCCGATAATGTATGTCCTGTGTTGCCATCAGCAGGACATCCGGAGAACTACATCCCATTGCAATAAATGAATTGGCGATGAACATGTCGTCTACTAAAATAAAAACCTTTGTAATGTTATCTTTAGGCGGCCCGGTGGTCGTCTGGTTAGCGCATCGGCCTCACAGTGCAGAGGTGCAGGGTTCAATTTTGGCTCTGGCCTTCCTGTATGGAGTTTGCATGTTCCCCCCGTGCCAGCGTGGGTTTTCTCCGGGTACTCCAGTTTCCTTCGACATTCCAAAAACATTTAGTCAATGGAACACCCTAAATTGTCCCGACGTGTGAGTGTGAGCGCGCATGGTTGTTTGTCTATGTGTGCCTTGTAATTAGCTGGCTACCAGTTCAGGGTGCACCCAGCCTACTGCCCGATGACAGCTGGGATAGGCTCCAGCACGCCCCATGACATTTGTGAGGATAAGTGGATCAGGAAATTGATGGATGGATGTTATCTTTAATGCGCAGGGTATAAGAAAAAAAAATATTTAACATTGAAACTACACGTTTTGCCCTTCAAAACGTTGTTTGCTTCATTCAGTGCGCGAGAAGAGGTGAGAGTTGTGGAAGGACAATGCATGGCTTCTTCACTATGGCAAGGCACCTGCTCATAGCGCCCAGAATATCCAACAGTTCCTGGCAGAGAAGAACATCGCCGAGCGGAAGCAACATCCCTACACACATCACCATGGGTCTGTGTTATTTTTCCCCCCGGATTCTCCCAAAATAAAGATGATGGAGCAGCAGAGGACCACGGAAGAATCCTTCAAGGAGTGCATGAATAAGACAAGTTAAAGTTATTTGAATTGTTATGAACTAGTCGCGAGAGGGCGCTCGCCACTGCATTTTTGCATAACCTGCGCGAGTTGACTATCATAGTCAATTGACCGCGCACTGGCCAGTCACTCGTCGAAGTCAAGTTAAGCCAAATGTAGAAAGAAAGCGCATTTCCAAAACAAAAGTAGCCGTAAACTTCCCTTCACACAATTTGCTATTATTCAAATTCATTGTAATTCTTTCTTATAAAATATTTGATATAGGTGTTTTTTAAACAGTTTTGATCGCAGACTTTTTTTTTCCACCTGTCAAAAAGTGGCATACATATCGAACTTTAATTTGAAAGTCATAACCGGAATCCTTATTATATGTTGTGTGCGAGCTTAAAAATGGGCAGCACTGGGCCATAACAACCACCCAAGAAGGCGTTGAGCTGCTACGAAGGAAAAACGGTGCCAAAACTGAGAACGAAACCATCCAAGATTATCTCGTCGTCCCGGCTATTGTTGGCACTTGACCCGAAAGTCGTTCTAAGTGGAACCGTAGCTGCTCTCTGGCGATGAAAAGCGGACGCTGACGTCGAGTCGTGCGTAACGAGTGGAGTTGGAAAAAGAAGGTGTTGAGCTGCAGTTTTTTTTTCTCTTCCTCTGCCAGGGACAACTTGTGTCGGAGTGCTGCATTTTTAGTAAGAGGCGAGACGAAGACAAAGATACCAGCCACCAACGACAACCACCCACTTTGGTAACACCTTATTTGTCTTGTAACGGTTACATGGCGCTTTATCAAATGCTGTTTGTGAGGAGCAGAGTCGATAGCTTACCTTTAGCCTCCTGCTCGAGTCGAGATTGGCTACTAATAACACGGCTGTGGTCCGCGGGAGTTCTCTGTTTCGTTTCTGGACAATTCTTTCGAATTCGAACCAGCTGCCGACTTGGGACGTTTGGCTTGTTACCGTTAAATCACTTTTAAAACGAGGATTCGGCTGAGAAGCCATGGCGCCCCCCGCCCCGAACCACCCCCCTCTCATCCTCCTCCTCTCCTCAGCCTCACAGTAGCCCACCAAGCGATCCTAGCTCGGCGTTGACGTTAAGCTAACAAAGCCACAGCGAACCATTGGATTCTGTATACTCCCACTATAATTCATTGAAATCCCTTTGTGGTCAATTTAGCTTTATCGAAGCAAATTTGTACTTTGAGGATCAGGCTACGTGTTGCTCTGCGTTGCCTGAAACGTGGGCTGTTTGAACACTATAGGTTATGATCTGATTGCTGCAGATAACAGTTTAGTGCTGTATTATAGTGTTAGGTTTTGTTGGGTGTTTTTTTACAACTGCCATATCACGTTATCAATTATTTATTTTAGCATCCATGTTTTCCCTTTCAAATAATGTGCCTTTGTTGTCCTGCTAATGACGAGGTGTAAAACCTAAGGCTTAGGGGCCAAATCTGGCCCTCTGTGCCATTTTATGCGGTTATGGTTCTCAGGCAGAAAATATTGAGCAAGGAACTGAAGTGTGTAGTACAGTTGTTGTAGCCACACACCTATGCCATGTCCACAATGAAATAGGTTAAGTATATCTGCATGTAAAAAAAAAAAAGAAAATTCTACTTTCTATATTCTGTCCACGCAGCACCAGCATTTTGGAAGCCCACATACGATCATTTTTGTAAACAGGTTCCAGAGTGAGTGAATTTGACAACCTGCTCTTGTGTTACCATGTGTGCATCTTTCCTCAGACACTGACATGGTAAATCCACCAACATCACAAATAAGAATGGGGGATCACTGTGTTGTTCACCTTAATATATCCTTTATTTGTCCCACACCTTGGCGGTGTTTTCGGTTTTCTTTCCAAAGCAGAAATTCTACCTCGTTTTCAGTTCACACAAATGTTTTCTTTCTTGCGTGCTTAGAATTCCTCACTATTATTGTGAGTATGTTTAATCCACATGCCTTGTATTCTCTGGTTTTTGTGACCTCTTGTGGCATTATTACAACACCACTTCAGTCTGGCATATGCAGTATGCGGTACTACAATGTTTCAGTATCTTTGTGTGGATATAAACATTTCTTGAGACATGTTTCTGTTTATGGATAGCTCCTTAAAAAAACTAAATAGATCTGGCCCATTTTTGTCTTTTGCATGCTCCCCAGAAAAAAATATTTTATTTCATTCTAATTATGACGTATTCCTGTTTACACAAGAGAAAAGCAGTTTTACATTTCTTCCCTTAACGTAACTGTTGTGACCCAAAAAGTGAACTTAAAAAAACTAAGGTATGTACCGAACTGTTATTTTTAGTGCGGTGTTCCACCCCCAGTGATTATACATTTGTGGTATAACCAGCCCCCTGATGGCTCCCATTACTACGATGTGGCCCACGATGACAACAGATTTGAAGCCCCTTTTCCAACGTCGTCGTGAACAATTATTTCCATAGTTGTGTCAACCTCTGCTGAATGTGCGACTGTTGCTGTCATCTATGTAAAGTGGCTTGGTTCCCAGAGCACACACACACTGGATAATCTTGCGACTATGCTCAACGTTCAGCGTGTATTGGAGGATAAAGTAGAGTGAGTGTTTATTGAGGGGGGGGAAAGGTGCTTTTAAATCACATGTCAACATGGAGCTTCTCCTTCTGACCAGGTTAAGCTTTTGAGTCAGCAATTTAGGGCTCTAAAATGACGTGTCATTATTGGAATGACATGCTCAGAAGTCTATGGCAGGCATAAAAGCCTGTGTTCGCTTGCAAGTACTTGCCCCGGAGCTTTTGAAAGAGTCAGACTTTGGCCCGACTGAAATATTTTTATTGTGCAGCGAGGACTAAAGATGACTGGTGCCTTAAAAGAAGTATGCATTGTTTCTTTGGAAGTGTCCTTCATTCCCAGGACATTGGCTTGCAAACAGTCAGGTCATTTGAGTAAGACTTTTCCTGTTGTTCAAGGCTGGATGATACACTGCAATGTTCAAGTGAGAGCATTCAAAATTTTTGCTCTCAAGTGGCACAATTCACCAATAAAAAAGCCACGTGGAATCACATACCCTTAAATTGGAATCAAGCCTCAAGTTCAAATTTAGAGTTTCGTGAAAACGAACCAAAACTAAAATTGAAAAAAAAACCCCAAAACATTCTTGTTAACAAAATGAAATAAAAAGTGCTTTAACCCTGGTTCAACAACACTGACACACATTAAATCAATTCAGATCAGATTCAGATTTTGATCCACAATTGGAAGAGACCTGATTTTGATGCGAGAGATGCAATTTTCTGTGTTGACTTTCTGTTAATGCTACCCTGTCTCATTTCAATTGGGCCCAAATAATTGTGTTACTTGAACTGTCTCTCCTTGTAGTGATGACATCAGGTTACCTTTATGAATGACACACCAAGGACAAACGCAAAACAATACCCATCAGAATGACAGAATATCATGAGTTCCAGCCTGCAGTCTGAATGGAAATCAGATGACACTATCCGCAAGTCTAGCGGTGCTTGACCCAATGTAATCCACTGGCTGCCCACCATGAGTCATCGCTCTGGACACACCGCATTTGCTTCACTCTCTTGTCTGCGTGTGTGTGTGTGTGTGTGTGTGTGTGTGTGTGTGTGTGTGTGTGTGTGTGTGTGTGTGTGTGTGTGTGTGTGTGTTTATTCTAGCCGCTTCTAATTCCCTCCGTTTCCTGTAGCTCTTATGATGACAGAGCCTGCCATCAGTCAGATGGCCCAATTCACTGGTGTACTGCCTGACCTAATTGGCAAATATGGCCCAGAGATGCATAATCTGTTCTGCTTGAATCAAATGTCGTTGACAATCTTTTCATGTCAAGTGTCACATCATTAGGGATGGGAATTTGACTGGAATTCCTTGATCGAATACGGCGACAATGAACAACGAAACATTCTTATTTCTAATGGGATTGGAAAATCTCTTGGCATGTTATGAACTCATTTTCCCATGCCAGTGTTTGTTGAGCAGAATAGTTGCTGAAATCCGTATCTCCCTGAGCTGCGCAGGTTTGCTAGTGTATGTGCACGTTGCGAATGTTGTGATGATCCATACCGCCTCGCAGTTGTGGCAGGTTAAGAAGCTGATTCGACGGCATGATAATTGCACAGGTGAAGCCTACTACACTTTGTCTGACAGATTCAATTTATGTGATTTCTGGATTCAACAAATGTGTTACTTGTGAAATTGAATTCAGTTTTCCCAAAACTGTCATTAGTCACAGTTTGGTATCCATCCATCCATCCATCCATCCATCTATTTAGTGCCCTAAATTGAACTGGTATTTAGAAACTGCATTTTGTATTTCCTTGGGTAGTCTCTGTGTCATACTAAAATTGGTTTGATGAACTGAAACCTTTTGTATGTTATAAATACGCAAAGAACACAGAAATATGCAAAAGGGCAACTACGAATTACTATTTCATAGCACTGTAGGCTCCGGGTGAGGATAAGCGGTATAGAAAATGGATGGATGGATGAATGGAAGAGCTCAGGATCATTCTACTGTGGTTATGTATTGAATTCAACTGGTTAAAAGGGGATGACCTGCATCAAGTCTAATTTTGAAATCCTAACTGCTGCTGAATTTGGGTAATTTTAGATGAGGAAGAAGACCCGGAAAAATACCTCTTGGTCTAGTAGGGGAAATCCACATGAATGATTGATAGTGACTTGACTCCCATTTAAATAATACATCAGTCGTGTCCTTGTAGCATTTATTTTTGTTGGAATTGTTCACTCGGGGGGAGTGGCTCATTTTTATTGGAAGGATTCAGAGGAGTGCAGCAAGGTGAGTGCCTAAAAAGGTTGCGCATGCCCATGTGTGTATCGGGAGATGTGTGGAGGGGGGCAGGGAGTGTCTGCTGTCACCTCTCATTAGGGGTGTGTGGTCCAGCTTTGCCTACCCCCAACTCCTCTGCTTTTCTATGGCACTGCCCTTGCGTCGCTCAGCGCGGCCACAACACTGTTTCAGTCTTCAACGCGGGAAAAGCGTCCTAATTCTCATCTTGATAGAACATATCAGAGGGCTGCTTTTTGTTTAATGGTGTGAGCCAGCTCTTGTGAAGAACAGTCGCTGTGTTCGACGGCGCTTGAACATTTCTTCTGCACTGCAGTGCAAATTAAATTTGCTTCACTCGTTCGTGTGAGTTAAAGATGGCAGTATTGAATGTATTTCAGTTGTTGGTTGAGTTGTTTTATCCTCCTTTGAGAACCCCCCCCCACCCACACACACACACACACACACACACACACGCTTTTGTAAACAATATGTTTATCTCACGGGCTTCCTCATCTCCATATTCAAATTCAGTTTCTAATTTTGTCCAACGTATTCCCTCTGAAGATATTTAAAGCAGCCTGATGAAATAAAGATCAACCGATGTTTTTGTCAGAGCCTTCCACTGTGACTGCATGTTGAATCGTGAGAAGAAATAAAGAAATCAAAGAGTGTGCACCGTCCCCAGCGGAACGCTCCGGACGTGTTGGGCGTCTCGATACTCCACAGGTGCTGACACAGTGGAGAATTTCTATGGCAGCCTGAGATAAAACACATCCTCTATCAGTCCGCCTCTCGGTGTGATCTCATTGCGGAATCCTTAATTGCTGTCTGTTGACAGTAATTATGTTTGTAATGAAGTATACTTGGGCAACGTCGCAGATGTTGCAAATGCCTTTAGAATTGAAGCAGCAGTCTTTGGAGGTGTAAAGCGACCGGTAATTGAGCCTAGCAGTAAAAATAGCATTTCACAGATGACAATAGTTAGCAGCCAGGTAGAGGTGTGTGTGCTTTGGATGAAAAATTATATCCTGAAACGGATAATTCTATATCTACATACAACAAGTTGTATCACAATATCGTGTTTGTTCTTTAAAACAATTGAAATTAATTGCAGTTTTCTGAGAAGAGCCATTCAAAAAAATATTCATATATGTAGACTACACAATGAAATGGGTTGGTATTTTGCAGCGTACAACCTAAGAACTATTTTGCAATGTCCAATAACACTGACCCCAGTCTGCTGTTATTATTGATTAAAAAAATGCTTTTCAGCAAAGCCCTGATAGATACAAACTATATTAATGTTATTACAACCAGCTGTCTGTCTTACTTGTTCGTAGTTGAATGTCTACTGTCGAGAAATAGGATAACGTGCTTTGAGGGAAATTTGATTCTGATTAAGGTAATCCCATTTTTTTTTTTTTTTTTTTTTTACCGCCCAGCAAACCAAAAGACACCACACATGCAAAACTAAACTGTACTATTGCTAATTGCATCGTTAGTAAGTTGCAAATGGTTTCTGGTTTTGTTATAATGATGCTTTTTGATTTATTTTTTTTTAATATATGATTTCTAATGCTTGGATCAGAAAGGTCTATTCGTGGATTGTTGACTCTCATTGCAACACGTATGTTGAGGTCATCATGTCTTTTAAAGACCTTTTTAATCACTAATTTTAGCATTTAAATAGATCAATGCAGCTGAAAGTGGGTGAAAGATAATATTAAATGTCCCCTTGTTCAGGCTCCTGAACATTGACGAGTGCATCCCTTATCTTTTCCAACTGTCAGCTCATTTTGTTGTTCTACCTGCCTGTGTGTTGACTCTGCTCCTTTTTAAACTCAATCATCTTCATGGATGAAAGCGTCTTCCTCACTTCTGTCTCCTCCTTTCTCCTCTCTCCTCTTGCTTCTTTCAGATGTTTTAGACATGGCAGGCGGGGCCCGGGGCTCTGGGAACTCTTCAGAGGATCCGTGTCGGACACGTGACTGAGGACTAAAGGGAGCGCCATCGCCTGAGCAGAATGACTCAGCAAGAGGGGGGACCCCCACGTAGCAAGTGAAGAGACGTGAGAATGGGTGCCAATGGATCCAGCTATCCGCACTCATGCTCCCCGCGCATAGGAGCCAATGCACAGACGCAGCAGACCTTTATTGGTAAATATAATGCGCATACTGTAAAATTTTTCAGTACAGTTTCTGCATGCAGCGGAACATTATTGGTCTAACACAACGGGTTCTGGGATGTTGGTTGGCGTCATATTTCACAACTATTCTTCCCCTAGGAAACAATGGCAATGGATATAGTCAGGTTTTTCAACTTGTAAAACTTGCAGGGTGTTTGAATTTGGTGGTTTTGCTCTATTTTCAGTGTTAAAACATTAAAGTCGATGCGTTTTTTTCGATCAATATTTTTTAATACATACTTGAATATGCCACATGATCCCCATCTCTTTTAAATAATTCAGGATTGCTACTAACCCATTTACAACGATAACCACACATGTAACCTGATTCCCTCAGACAAAGACCATTGTTTTGCACACGTATTTTTTCCGCCGCCAGCTGTCAAATGTTGCCCAAGATCCTGGATTATCCTTGTCATCGGAGTTGTTCAACTAAATAAGATTCCATGATGGATGAAAACTTCACATTTCTGCCTTGACCACAGGTTCATGGTTATAGTTTGTAGTTTCCTGCTGGAGGTCATTGCATAGTATTTCTCTTGTAAACATTAATATTCTCAATGACCTCCTTTCTACTTCCAGTTACAAAAGATGTATTGAGAGTAACTTTACTTTTATTTCATTTTGTTAGGCTCCACTCAAGCCGTGTTTCCGCCAAGCAACATACAGCCTCTGATTTAAAATTATGCAATCATTACTTCTGGATGAGGATCATTTAAATGTGTAGTTTTAGAGGGAAAAAAGGCAAATCACACACACGCACACTCTTTTTTTTTTTTCTTTTAATTGAAAATTTCATCCTTCCAGCTTTAAGAATCACTAAACAAAAGCAACAAAGAAAATTGTTGGTCATTCCATTTTTATTAAGTAGAGGGGGGGGGAAAATTACTCAATTCTGAGTTTAAAAAAATGGACTCAGCTTCTAATTTTCAGTTGTAAAACAAATACGTGAACAAAATGGGATGGATGTAAAAGCAAAGAGTCAAATTTCCACAGTCATTGATGATATGCGGCTACATGTCGGAAAGGCCCAGGGGCACGGCAGTCTTTCTATCTTCGATAAATGCATGTTTACGTCGAGGTTTTCCCACACTTTTCTGACTCCGTCAATCAAAAAGGTGCTGGACGATTATATCATTTTTCGACATGATCATGCATCTTGCAATATAGCAAACCTTTAAATCCTTCAGTAGCAGCGATGCCATCATTTTGACCAACGGTTGTAGTCAATAAAAGTATGCTCAAACATTTTTAGCATTTTCATCGTGATCTCTCGACTGAACCACATTTCCACTACGATATACCCACTCAAGAATGGTGCTATACACGCATGCAGTGGACAATCATAACAGCCCATGCAAATGGCAACATGGAATGCCCAGAACAACCAACACTCAAGTGCAAGATGTTGTCTTGTGTTTACTGTGGTGTATTCCTCTTTTTTTTTTTTGTTCCACCTACTGGAATGTTACATTTTAAAGTCACCATATTTTCCGTGTTGCCTATACTAGTAAGGTATAAGGAAACCTTTATTCGCCTCACAATGGAGAAATTCCCAATTTACAGCAGCAAAGTTATGAAAGGAAGAAAGTAGAAGAACAAAAAGTATAGGAGCTGCTGTAAAGGCAGCCACTTTCGTGGCACCATCTTGAAGTCATAATAACATAATAACAAAAAATACACACTGTAATTGAAACGCCAGCCACATCAGAGTTTGTCATTCCCATCTTTACTATAGTGTGCTAAATCAAACTCGATCACTGTGGAAATGAAGTTCTCGACTTTGAAGTCTTGCTCGTTTGGGCCATCACACAATGACAATTGCTATTTAGAAGGACTTTTTGATGTGTCTTATGTTGCGTTTGAGGTCCCTGCTGACAATTAAGAAGGAACCCATTATCATAAGAAGAATTGTAATTGTGCAATGCTGAAATCCCCTTTTGCCTAAGGCCTGCATTTTTTGGCTCAGCCCGATCCTGCTGAGGTTCACATCAGGAAAACCCTGTTTAGTACTCAATGAAGTTGCTCACTGGGGCTCGTCTGGCTTACAGATGATTCTTTGCATTCTAGTTGTTACTCTTTGGCTCATACTGATTGATATTGAGAAGAGGATGGGAAAAGAGGATCTCCGTGGCAGAGCTTGCTGAGACATACAAGTCCCCTCTATTGATAACTGCCAATAGTTTGAATGATGCATCATCGGTGCGCAAATGGACTGATAATTGTAGAGTTTTACACAGAGGTGAAAGTGCATGTCATTGTTTTCCGCAAATAACAATTTCGGGGCATTCCATGGCAAATCGCCCAGTGGGTTTAATCAAGTGGATTTTGATTTCAATGAAACTTGCTGGGATTTGGGAGCTACGGGCCACCGAATTTTACTACGTTCGGCAAAAAGGGGCATGGCCGCCTTCTTTTGAACCCTTATACCTCAGTAACTATTGTGTCAATCTTTTCGAAGATGGGTGCATATTTTAGTAATTTTACATTTGCATTTTACCTATAGTTTGACCTTGAAATTCACCTTGTGGATCGTGTGATATTTTTCATGACATGTCATCTCTGACTTTAAAATATATAAATGCTTCAGAGATGAATTTTTGTTTTGTTGAACAACAGTAAGGAGTCAAACAAAGGTGATGCACAACTACCTTTCTAACTTCAGAGCAAAAAAATTGCTGTTTGATGTGTCATCTGTAATCCAACAATGTACCTCAGATTCACTGCTTGGTATTATATGTTGAGTGTAAACTGAAGCTCAAGGGGATTTGGTTGTGTGTTCCTTCCAGGGACCTCATCCTACTCGCAGCAGGGATACGCCTGGGAGTCAAAGCTTTACAGCCTGGAACATGGCCATGAACGGCCCACCGACAGGAAGAAGAAAAGCCTTGGGTTGGCCACCCTTAAACGGCGGTTCATCAAACGGAGAAAGTCCAGTCGCTCGGCGGATCATGCCCGGCAGATGCGTGAGCTGCTGTCCGGGTGGGACGTCCGAGACACGAATGCCCTGGTGGAGGAATACGAAGGTACGGCGGCCCTCAAGGAGCTGAGCTTCCAGGCCAGCCTTGCGCGAGCTGAGGCACCAAGTTTGCCTCGGGATCTGGCTGCCCTTTATCAGCATAAGTACTGCACTGACGTGGACCTCATCTTCCAAGGGACTTGTTTCCCAGCGCATCGGGCCATTTTGGCTGCTCGCTGCCCCTTCTTCAAGACTCTGCTGTCCTCATCCCCCGGCTACGGAGCGGAAGTCCACATGGATATTGAGACAGCAGGCATCGATGTGCCCATGTTTTCAGCGCTGCTGCACTACTTGTACACGGGAGAGTTTGGCGTGAGCAGCGCAGAGGATTCGAGGCTGCAGAATGTGGACGTGCTGGTGCAGCTCAGCGAGGAGTTTGGCACACCCAACTCCCTAGAAGCAGATATGAAGGGCTTGTTTGACTACATGTGCTACTATGATGCCCTCTTGAGTTTCTCTTCAGACTTTGAAATGGTCGAGAGTTTCAATGAGCGAGGTGCTGGAGCGCCAGCTGCCGTCTCAGGAGGCGGCGGAGGGCCAGGCACCCCGGATGAGGACCTTCGAGCTCATAAGGCTATCCTCTCTGCACGCTCCCCTTTCTTTAGAAACCTCTTGCAGAGGCGCATACGTACAGGAGAGGAAATGACAGAGCGCACGCTGCAGACTCCGACCCGTATTGTGCTCGATGAATCCATCATGCCGCGCAAATATGTGCAGGTGATTCTCCACTGCATGTACACAGACGTGGTGGAGCTGGGACTGGTTCTGCGTGGTAGCCCCTCGGCAGGCAGTCTTGGGGAGGTCCAAGCCTTGGTGTCAGGGGGCCGGGGAGCCAGCACGCGCACGGAAGAAGCCATGGAGCTCTACCATATCGCTTTATTCCTGGAGTTCAGTATGCTGGCACAGGGTAAGTCATTATGATCCCATTAACAGCCCGCATGTATACAAATTAATAATGCATGGTTAAGTCAATACGTCATTAACCACTCATGAGTTCGAATCATTTGTTTGCTGTATTTCATCTTAACTGTTTTGTTAAAAAATAGCTCTCTGGCCTAACTTTTATTGGTATCTCAAACATGCATGCATTCATGGGTTCTTCCACTCCAGTTAATATTCCACCCTTCAAGGCAGATTAATCACATGTTAAAATATTCCAAGTATGACTTCTGCTGCCCAGACTGCTGTACAGCTTGCCCGTCCGTCTAAGGTCAGAGGTGTTCAACTTGCAGCTGCTTGGAACCGAATGAAGACTATAGGCTTTAAGAATTGCTTCATTGCGTGGGTATTAATGTGGTATTTTGTGGTCATACAGTACACAAGATTTCATTGCTTTACTTTATAGTCTACTATTCAACATGAAAATCTGTCCCTGCCCTGGCAAATTTTATGTCTTCCTTCCCAAGACAGCTTCTACCTCAGCCCCTTCGCATTGAGAAAAGTCATTTGAGGTGATTCTCACACCTGTTATCCAATGCACTATATTTATTGCCTTATTTCAACTCGTGTCTTTGGTGCAAATTAATATTGCAACAGTACCACCGCTATTGCAGATCGTCGAAATGACATGACAGCTTTTTTTATCTTGGGAGTGGAAGCTAAATTTGTCTTTTTAAGTAGAAGCTGTGAAGGCAATGTAACTTCTTACATAATGGGCTCTACAAGCTCATTTATGCCTGGGTGAAATATTTTAAAAACAGAGTTTGCTCAAATCTGTCGACGAGTGGTGTGATGTAAACAAACGCAGTCAGCTGATCACACACCAGCTCTCGCCCTGGAGATGTGCTGTCGCTGTCACTCTGACAGCTTTGCCAGAGAGCAAGCAAATGGTGCCATCCAACACAGTTCCCTCAATTCAAGGGGTATTTTTATCTTGCCTCCCCTCCCCCTCCCACTGAGCTGTGCAGCACTAATCAGTTCCCATGAAACTTCAGTGAAGAATGCGGTGCGATAGTTGAGGTTCATCTGATGTCATCCTGTCCAAGTTGTCAGTCTTGTCTGCGTTGCAGCTTCCTGTTCTTCTCAAATTGAAATTCCATTTTACACAACTTTCCCAATAGCCCTGAATGCTGTAAGATGTAATTTTAAATGCCTTTGCTGTCTGTGGCTTGACTATAAAACGAATGGTGGCAGCTGACAGGGCAAGAGCGTGATTCTGACTTTTTCCATTACGCTCCAACTTTCTCCACAGCTGCTGTCTATCGAGTCAGTGTCAGAATTATTACATTACTGAGTGGCAGCTTGGATTGGACTGCATCCACTGTGCTATGGCCTTACAAAGCTATCAAGAGCAATCAGAAGTCTGACTTAAAATTTACACTCTGCTTCAGCTCAAATGTGCTCTACAAATTATACACTGCAATCTTGCTGATGGATACTGAGAACTGTTATTTTCTTAGAGGACTGACAGTCACGAATCTGTAAAGTTTCAGCAAGTTGCAAAAAAAAAAAAAAAAAAAAAGACCACCATCAACCAAAACCTCTGTGGGCCTCTTTAGAATTTGGTGTTTTTTCTTGGGTACATTCCTTTCTGAGTGAAGTGACCAGGAAGTACATGGAAGACAGGTTGTTCCAATTCTAAAAATGCTTTGGAAAAGTGCTTCGATGCAAACTTTAACCCACCTTCAGCATAGGTAACGTTTACGCTTTACAGCAGCAATACTTAAAGCAACAGGCCACTGATAAATTTTACCGACTCGATGCAAAGACGCTCGAGAGTACAGGAGCAAAAGATT